GGGTGGGGTACGTCCCCTGGCACAGATGGCAGGGCTGGGCACGGCCTCTCTGGCTCAGCCTGGCCTGGGCAGCTTTGACTCAGACTCGTACGTGGACACCCCCAGCCCTGCAAAGTAGGGCGTGTTTGTGACCCCATCTGAAGAGCAGGGAAACTGAGGCACAGGTGGGAGGGGCCCGGGGACTGCTCCCGTTCTGCTTGTGCAGGCCCTGAGCCCCGTGGCCCTTGATGGACGGTGTTGGAGCTCACGCAACCGGGAAGGGTGCAGGCCCGTGTGCCTGCCTGCTGGGAAGATCCGGGTCCTGGGCTGGGCCCCTGGGCTAGTGTTCAGGGAGATAAGGGCCCTGCCCTGCCCACCCTCCATCGAAGGTCCTTGTCCCCACGGTGGCTAACCCTGCCACACCTGGGCCTCCCGGGCCCCGCCTATCTTACCGGATTGGATTTCTCCTTCCCTGCCGCCAGCCTGTGCCTGGCGGGTAGTCCGCGGCAGCTGCCGCTGTTACTTCAACAAAGGGACAGCCCCGCCTCTCGAATTGCCAGAGATGGGAAGGGGGAGGCTCCCACTCTCGAGATGAGAGATATCCTTCATTCCCATTCCCTGACGCCTTCATGAGCCTGGGCCAGAGGGCGGGACTTGGGCCTGGGGAGGGAAGCCCAGAGTGCAAGTGAGGGCTCCGTCCAGGGTGGGCTGGGAGCTGCACGGGTGGGTAGAAGTGTGCCAGCAGCAATGGCAAGTTTGCCAGCAGCTGGTGGTGGAATTGTTTCTTGGGCCGTGGACCCAGAGGTCTGCTTAGTGCCGGTGTGTCCGGGGTGCTTGCCGCTGGCAGTGGTGTCACCATGGGTAGTGCTAGGGTGGGTGCATCTGGACGGGCTCCAGCTCCAGGCTGGGTCGGGAGGGGCCTGGAAAGCTTCCCAGGTCGAGTGAGGGCTCCCCGAGGCGATGCGGCTGGTGTGGAGCGGCCAGGGGCCGGGCCCCTAACCCTGCCTTCCTGCCCTACAGGTCTCGAGGACCGGCCCAGTTCGGGCTCGTGGGGCACCGGCGAGCAGAACAGTTCCTCCTTCGACCCCAGCCGGGTGAGGAGCCCCTGGAGGCCTGAGACCCTGGGGTGGGGGTGGGCGAGCGCGAGGAGAACCCCGGCCTGGCCTGCAGGTGCTTTGGGCTCTGTGGCGCGGTCACATCCTGACCCAGAGGCGTCCCTGAGCCTCCCTCATCCCTGCCCGTCCCCTCTACAGACCTACGGTGATGGCGCCCACTTCAGTGAGTCCCACGGCACCCTCGCTTCGTCCACATTCCTGGGACCTGGGCTCGGAGGTGAGTGTCCACGTGGTCCCTGCCCCCACCCCCGTGCCCGCTCGGTCCTCGAGCACCAGGGCTTCCGGGATGGCCACCCAGAGCAGAGGACACAGGTGGGGACCAGCCAGGTGCCTGCCGGGAAGTGGACTCCGGAGTCCTGACAACCTGGGGAGGCCGAGTCTGAGGCCGGCCCCCTCGCCTGCTCTCCCCAGAGCACCGGCATCCTGACCGTGAGAATCAGCATCGGGACCTGGGTGAGGGTCCCCTCTCTAGCCCCAGTTTCCCGACCTGCGGGGATGGGGATTCTCAGAGCCTTCTGCGTAGCCAGTGGTAAGGACTCACCTGGCTCCCTAGGCCCGAAGGCCCACCCCCATCTCGCAGATGAGCAGACTGAGGCTCAGCGAGAAGGGACCCGGCCTCTGGGACCCTCAGGCCCTGGTTGGGTGTCCGAGCGCTGGCCCTGCTGAGCCTGGGCCCTCCCTGTTCTGAGGGAGTGTCGGGGTGACTGCCAAGCTGGCATCTCTGGAGGTTGAAAGGGGCCGGGGGGTGAGTCAGCTCCTGCCTCAGGGCCTGGGCTGCGCACTCCTGGTGCTCCTGAGACACGAGGTCCTTGCACATGACAGCCGGGTGAGGTAGGCTCCTTTGGCACCGTCCCCAGCGGTTCCCAGGCCGAGGTGCATGGCGGCGGGGTTGGTGGCTGCTGGGGGAGGTGGGTGAACTCTCGTTGCCGGGCCCAACCAACCAGTGGGGCAGCCAAGGCCGGAGGGCCTGGGGTCCAGCCCTTGTGGACTGGCGCATGGAAGGAGCCAGACGGGCGAGCGTGGCCTGGGTGCAGTCCCAGGCAGGAAGGGGGAGCACAGTGTCCGGCACCCACTGTGTCTAGCGGGAGTCTGTGTGCATCTCCCAGACCGGGATGTGAGGGCTGGCCGGGTGGCCTCTGCACCTGCCACGACACCGGTTCCCCTCTGCTGTTCCTTCCTCCGGCTTCTTCCTGGCACGGGCAGTTGCCACGGCCGGGCCTGGTCAGCAGGGCCCAGAGCCCAGCTGTGCCACACACCCGCCACACGCCCCAGTGGCCGAGGAGCTCAGAGAGTGCAGCAGGGAGCCCAGGCCAGGCCCAGCGAGACAGTGGGGAGGTGGGCGCAGTTTCGGCCTCCCTGGGCCCTGGTTTTCTTGCCTGTGGACTGGGGCTGGCGATAGCCATGGTGGGGCAGCGGGCGGTGAGTGCCAGGCCCAGGGGGCGAGGGTCGCTCTGTTCCCGTGGGGCCCCCAACCTGGTCCAGCTCCTCGATGAGACCTGGTGGGTCTGCTCTTGGTGTCTGTCCTCCTTCCCCCTCTCATACTCTGATGCCCGGGCCCGGTGCATGGCTTGGGCACCCGCTGTATACCCACAGGGCTCGTGGATCTCGCAGGTCCCCTCCCAGAACCTCTGTTTTCTCTCCTTGCCTCCCTCAGCCTTCCTTTCAGGATGCCCCTGCTTGGTGCCTGCTGTACGCAGGGTCAAACCACAGCAGCCCCACCCTGCAGTGGGGAGCCCAGAGCCCTGGCTGGGCTGGCCAGCTTTGCTTCCCACGTCCACCCTGGGAAGGGAGGGAGGAGTGCACCCTCTGGACTGGGGGCGAGTCCCTCTGGCCTCCAGGCTGTGGTTTGTTCATCCCTAAATGGGCCCCGTGTCGCCTGCCCTGAGCTTGAGCTGGTGGGCGTGGCCTGTGGGGCATCTGCTGTGTTGGTAGGAGCGTGGTCCTTCTCCCTGTCCCCTAAACAGCATTTGCTCCAAGAGTCCACTTGAAATTGTCCTTTTAAAATCAAGGGGAGAGGGAATTTCCTGGTGGTCCAGTGGTTAGGACTCGGCACTTTCACAGCCGAGGGGCACAGGTTTGATCCCTGGTCGAGGAACTGAAGTCCCACAAGCTGTGCAGCGTGGCCAAAAAATGAGTAAAAATATTCAAAAAATAAATGGATAAAGGGGAGAATTCCCCCACACCCCCTGCCCAGTTTGAGAATAAACCAAATTAGTCAAGCATTCTGATTTCTTGCTCACGGTAAGGCTGGTTAAGGTCCGCCCTCAGTCAGGACAGGTGCCCAGCTGAAGCCAGAAACAAACTGAAATTGTTCAGGTACTGATGGATCCAGGGACCTGCTTCAGGCGAGGCTGGATCCAGGTGTTTGTGTAGCTGCAGGAGTCTGTTCATACCAGCTGCTCTCTCGGGCAGGCTGTCCCCCCACAGCTCGGTCTTGCCCACCCACACAGAGGAAGGGCTCCTTCGCACTGAGTGGCTTGAATCAGCATCCCCAGCGATGCCACATGCTTGTTCGTGAGCTGACCCTGTCCAGGAGCTGGGGAAGGAGCCCAGGGCCTGGGTGCTGAAACTTGCAAGATACCAGGGACCTCGACCTGTCCCCTGGGAACCCAGCACCCTGGGGAGTTGACACCTCATGACCTTGAACAGAGGAAACCAAAGCTCGAGAAGGGCAGGGGTGGGGAGCCGAGTCGGTGCTGTCCCGCTCTGGGGATGGGGCACGGGGGGGCCCTGGCGGGTTTGCAGAATCCTCTGCAGGTCATCTGGGGATAGCGTCTGGCTGGAGCCCCACTTGTCCCTCAGCCCCTCGCCACTTGATGGGGAGACCAGTGTGCCACCACGGTTTTCAGTGTCGTGAACTTGTGGAGAGCCTGCTGTATGCGGGCGTGTGCCGGCCTCTGGGTCAGCTCCGGGTGACCCTCCTTCCTCTTCCACAGGCAAGGGCGGCGAGCGGGGCGCGTACACCCCCTTTGGGAGAGACGCAGGGGTCGGCAGCCTGACTCAGGTGAGGCTGCGTCTGCAGGGTGGGCAGGGGAGGGCGTGGGTCCCGTCGGCCCCCAGTGGCCCTTGGAGCCTGGAGAGCCCACGTCTCCAGGTGGTTAGGGATGGGAGGTTCCCAGTGGGGGCCACAGTCACCGCTTGACTTCTCACCCCACCTTGTATTCCCTAGTTTTAATTTGAAACGAATTCATCCCAAATTGCCTCCTGATCTGGGAAGGCTCAGCCAAGTGCTGGTCACTCTCCAGCAGCCGCTGAAACGGGCCCGGTCCATGGGTCAGGCCGGGTGGGTTGTCGATGGGGAAAGGGGAGGCTGGGGTCCAGCCTGTGGGGCCCTGTGCACAGCTGAAGGGGTTCCAGGAGACACCTGCCCGCCCGCCTGCCCCCAAGTGGCAGACAGGGAAACCGAGGCCAGCCAGGTAGACGAGGCCTGACCCTCGCTCCGTGCTCCCAGCCTTGTGGTCCAACCTCGGCACAGTCCCCGGCCTGGGCGAGATTGTCACCCTTGGCCACCCCACTGGGATGCTGACGGGCCAGTTGCCTGGCACAGTGGTCCCTTGTGGCCTCCTGTCCTGCCCCACCTGGTCTCTCTCCCGCCCCACGCCCGAGGGCTTTATTCCCTGCCTGCAGTCCTGGAACCTCAGGGTGCAGCTAGGCCCTGCTGCAGGCAGCACCGCCTGTGTGCACACTGGGCCTCAGCCAGGTCACAGCCACTGAGTGCCCGTGGGGCCCCAGGTCATCGGCCAGGGGCAGAACGTGCATGGCCCCATCTGTCCCCACGACGCCCCTGAGCCGTGGAACGTCTGACATGCCCATGGCACAGACAGGAGAGCCAAGGCTGCAGCACTGCGCCTCGAACCCCAGTCATTGTTGCTTTCCTGGGAACAGAGTCTATTTCAAACGCATGTCTGCGAGATTAAACCGTTTACCTTAAAAAAAAAGGCGGGGGGGGATACGTACGAAGTAAAACACACAGATTCCCTTGACACCTGAAGCATAGTTGTGCCCGTTTCGCGCCCAGACAGCAACACATCTTCAGGCTTGACGGTGTTTCTCTCCTCATCTTTTTCCTTCATGAAAATGAATCGGTGGTATCTTAGATAAGAGAAACACCAGCGGTGTCAGCAGGGAGGGACCTATGCCCCAGGTCACTGTCACCCCAGGACCCTGCCATTGGCCTGGGCCCTTGCTCTTGCCTTTGTTGTTTTAAACCAGAATGGCCTGGGGGCTGGGCAGGGGACCGGCTGCTAACCCTCCCCCTCCCTCAGGCCAGCTTCCTGCCCAGCGAGCTGGCCCTCAGCAGCCCGGGGCCACTGTCGCCCTCGGTCGTCAAAGGCGGGTCCCACTATTACTCCTACTCCGGTCACCCTCGGCGGAGAGCTGCAGATGGCGGCCTGGGTGAGTGGGGCGGTGGTGGGGACGGCGGTCCCTGTGGGTCCTGGCGGTCGCGTCCTGTGAGGTCGGGCAGTGCTGAATTGGCGCGGCGAGGGTTCCACAGCCCTTGGTCGCTTCCCCAGCCATACACACCCTGCGCACCGTGCGGTTCTGTCGAAAGACGCTTCCTTTAGCGAGGTTGCTTTGATTTAGTGATGCTAAAGTCACCCACCCAGAAGTACACAGGTGCCAACGCAGGCCCACAGCGAGTGGGACCGGGATCCCAGCTTCCCGTCCGGGCCGCACTGGAGCCGGAAGGCCAGCGGCACCTGGCAACCATGGAGGCGCCCAAGCCAGGGTTGGGGCTTAGCAGTTTCGGCGAGGGGGAGCTTGCAGGTCCGGGACTCGGCGACTGGGCAACTGCCAGGAGCTGGGGCTCGCGGAGCAGGCACCGGCTCCCGTGTCCACGAACCCTGCGACCCGGCTCTCGGCACACACCCGCCCCCTGAGTTCGCCACGTGGGCCTGAGGCTGGTTTAAGTCATTCTCTTAGTAGGGGAGCTTGGGGGTCTCTTCTCCGAGCTGCAGGGTGGGACTGTCTCCCACCCCCTAGTGACAGGAGTGTCCAAGCGGGAAGGGCCCCAGTGGTAAGGGCGGGAGCCTGGCCGGGGGTGCTCACTCCTCTTGTCCCAACAGACACGCAGCCCAAGAAAGTCCGGAAAGTGCCGCCGGGTCTCCCATCCTCGGTGAGTTGTGGGACAAACGGGCCCCACAGGCCGAGTGCCTCTCGTGACCCCCTCCCGAGGGTGGGCTGGCCCTGCGTGGGGTCTGACAAAAGCCCCATGGGCTCAGCTGGACTTCTTCCCTGAGGCCCCAGCCCTGAGGTAGTCGGGAAGTCCTTCCTTGGGTCTAGCCTGGGTCCCTCCTGCTTTAAGAGAAGGTGGTTTCCTCTGGCCGAGGCGCCTCAGAAAGGGTGTGAACGGGGTCCTGGAAGCGGGAGTGGGTGGGCATCCTGGCAGCCAGTTAGAGGGTTTCCCGCCCCATCCGCCCTGCTTGGAGCTGCCCTCTGTCCTCACCCCATGCCTGGTGGCTGGCGGGCTGCCAGGCCCAGCAGATGGTGCTGAGCCGTCAGCGGCTCCCAGCCCCGTGCTCCCGAGACTTAATCACGTTGGGAGAAAAGGCACTTTGCTGGACTCCCCGGCTCGGCCACCACCCTCTCTGCTTGCCTTCTGCGCTGAGCCCCGGAGGCTGATGTGGCCCGTACCAGGCCGTAGGCCCAGAGGCTGTTTTAAGACTCAGCTCGTGATGTCACGTCCTGGAACATCAGAGCTGAGAGGCCCCTGAGCCCACTTTGTCCTACCATCTCTCGGCACTTGAACCCCGCTTTCTGCTCCAGTGCCGGGGCAGACGTGGCCAGTTGACCCCAGCACTTTCCTGCAGTGCCCAGCCGATCAGGGTCGGCGCTGATCCTTGAAAGCCTTTGCTGTCTTACTGCTCTGGGGCAACTGGGGCAGAATATTCACCCAGGGCCCTGCCTCTGAGGCCCCCAGGTCTCGTGTGATCAGGGCTGGGGTTAAGGCAGGTTCCAGTGCTGGGGGCGGCACAGCTGGGCTCTGCTGGATCAATAGGAGTTTACTGGATTAAGGAGGGAAAAGGCAGTCTGGGCTGGGGGTCCAGTCTACAGAGGCCTCAGGCGCAAGGCTGGGACTGTGGGGAGGGCAGCAGGTAGGGGTGAAGGAGGAACAGCAGAGAGAGGTGGTAACGCGAGCAGAGCCTCAGACGCGGGGCTGAGGTGCGGTTCTAGAGGGAAGGTTTGGAGAAGCACAGGGAAGTGGGTGGTGGGGTGGACAGCCCTCCAGGTGGAGGGGGAGACCCAGCAGGGGGAGCTGCGAGGCGGGGGCTGGCCGGTCCCCACCCCCCCCGGCCCCTCCTGCCTCACCATGCCCGCTGGCCCAGCACAGGTGTACCCACCCAGCTCAGGTGATGATTACAGCAGGGACACCACCGCCTACCCACCCACCAAGACCCCCAGCGGCACCTACCCTGCCTCCTTCTACGTGGCAGGTACTTGAGGGCTCGCCTGGGTTGCCTGGGGCGGGGCCCGGGCTCCCTCTGCCCGCCCACCTCACCATTCCCCTCTCCGCAGACGGCAGCCTGCACCCCTCGGCCGAGCTCTGGAGCCCCCCAGGCCAGGTGGGCTTCGGGCCCATGCTGGGCGGGGGCTCATCCCCCCTGCCCCTCCCGGCAGGTGGCGGCAGCTCCGTGGGTGGCAGTGGCAGCGGTGGGTTTGGCGGCCTGCACCAGCACGAGCGCATGGTAGGCCCCGTGGGGTGGCCGTGGCCGGGGCGGGGGAGGTGGGTGGGCAGTGCCCCGTCTGACCTCTCCTACCCCGTCCCCTGCACACAGGGCTACCAGCTGCACGGAGCAGAGGTGAACGGCGGGCTCCCGGCTGTGTCCACCTTTTCCTCGGCCCCCACGGGCGCCTACAGCAGCGTCTCCAGCCACACACCCCCTGTCAGCGGGGCCGACAGCCTCCTGGGTACGGCCCCCTCACCCCACACCTCCGGTGGGCTCAGGATCCAGCCCTGGGTATCATCATTAACCGCATCCCCCTTGCCTGGCTCGGGCTCCTCGGGCCCCCTCAGACGTTTCAAAGTGGTTCCTCGATGAGTAGGTCCCACTGTTCATTTGGGGAAACTGAGGCGCAGCGAGGGGGCTGCTCACCCCGAGCCCCGCAGCCTGCCTGTCCCCAGAGCACTGTGGAGGTACGTGGTGAGGCGTGAGGAGACACCCGACAGAGACCGGGGCTGCCCAGGGCCAGGCTGTGGCATCCGTGCAGGCAGATGCGTGCAGAAGGGAGCTCCCCGTCAGCCGGGGCGAGCAAGCCCAGCCCAGGTGCTAGAGCTGCTGCATCCCAGAGGCTGGGCCTCACCTCTCTCCACCCACAGGCTCCCGTGGAACCACGGCCGGCAGCTCTGGGGACGCCCTTGGGAAGGCGCTGGCCTCGGTGAGACTCGGCACGTGGTGGGTGGCTGGGTCGGTGACCCAGGAGACTGACTCCTGACCAGCCACGTGGTGGCCCTTTCTCTCTCCCTGTCCCCGTCACAGATCTACTCCCCAGACCAGTCAAGCAATAACTTCTCATCCAGCCCCTCCACCCCCGTGGGCTCCCCACAGGGCCTAGCAGGTCTGTGCAGCATGCTGGGGGAGGGGACTGGGTCTGCTGACTAGCCCCGGGTGGGCGGGGAGCTGGACAGACCACATGCCTCAGAGCTCACGTTCCCTTGGCCGTCGAGGAGGGCTCCCTAGAGGATGGGGGGCTTCTAAGCCAATGCTCCTAGGTCACAGCAGAGGCAAAGGTCAGGAGGTGCGACGCGGCAGGCCATGCATTGTGAGCGTGAGGGGCATGTGGGATCCAGCGGGGGGGCCTGGGATGCCCAAGAAGCAGAGCAGCCGGCCCGAGGCTCCCGCCTGGACTCCAGGACATGGGCATGTTGGCATTAATTCACCCCAGAAGCTGTTAGGCACCTACTGTGTGCCTCATGTTTGGCTTTGCCAAGGGGGCCGGGTCCCCTGTCCCTAAGAGGTTGCACCCGGGGCTCAGCGAGGGGCTGTGGAGAAGTGAGGGCCACGGTCTCCAGAGGGCACACAGGCCTGCACGGTGCCTCTGGGGCTCCGGTGGGGCGGGACTGGGAGGGGCCGCCTGCCCCGTGGGTTTTGCAGTTGGAGAAACTGAGGCTCAAAGATGTGACCTGCCCACTGGGTTCACACCCCAGCCTGGCAGAGCTGTCGGGCCAGCTGGGCTGAGATTTAGACGTGGGTCCCTTAGACTGCTCTGTGGGCGTGGGAGCCCCTGTGTGGCCAGTCTGGGCATCACAGCCGCAGACTCCCAGCCCAGCCTTTCTCCTTCCATGGGTCAGGCTGCACCGACCACCGCCCCCCCCACTCACGCGCATCTGCCCCTTCCAGGGACGTCACAGTGGCCTCGAGCAGGAGCCCCCGGTGCCTTATCGCCCAGCTACGATGGGGGTCTCCACGGCCTGGTGAGTGTCCTGGGGGCTGGGGAGGGTGCACCCTCGTGGGAGCACAGGGAGCAGAGGTGCTTGTGAACACCCAGGGACACCCGTTTGGGGTGGGGGGTGGCTTCGCATGTCTGCCATGGCCACAGAGCCACATCCTGTAAGAAGTCTCAGGTGTCGTGGAAACAGCAGAATGTGCGACAGCACAGGTGCCCCTTGACCAGGTTAAACTTCTCAGCTAATTTGTTGGGAATAGGGTCCAAAGCTGGTGGGTGGCCAAAGCTGTGGCCGTAGCCTGTGGCCCGCGACGGGCAGCTATGCTGTTGGCAGCTGTATGGGGTCCCGGCGGCCCAGGCCCCTCACCCCTGTCCACCCCACAGCAGAGCAAGATGGAGGACCACCTGGACGAGGCCATCCACGTCCTCCGCAGCCACGCTGTGGGCACAGCGGGGGACGTGCACGGACTGCTGCCCGGCCACGGGCCGCTGGCCTCAGGCTTTGCTGGCGCTGTCATGCCACTGGGTGGGCGGCATGCTGGCCTGGTGAGTGCTGGGCAAGGGCAGGCCGGGGGGTCGGTTGGGGCCAGGCCAGCACTGATAACCCCCCTCGTCCACAGGTGGGCGGCAGCCACTCGGAGGACGGCCTCTCCAGCAGTGGCGGCCTCGTGCACAACCACGTGGCCCTCCCCGACCTCTCCCGGCCGCCTGACTCCTACAGCGGTAAGTCCCTGTTACGTCCCCTGTGCAGAGGTGGCTGCACCCCAGGGTGGCCCACACCGTGGGCCCGCCAGTAGGTGTCACTCCTCCTTGGAGCCACATTCCTCCTCTGGAAAATGGGGACTGAGAGCCACCCGCCAACCTTCCCGGTGGCCTATGGGCCCGGGACTGTCCACCCGCATCTCCAGTTGAGGAAACTGAGGTCCAGGGTAACTAACTGGGCACTGGTGCGGAGAGGGGGAGATGCCCCCTGCCACATCACCAAAGCCCTACCTGGCTTGGTGCCAGGATCCCACAGGGGTTGGGAGGGGCCCTGCTGCTTCCGGGGTGGGTTGCTACCTCTCTCTCTGTTCGCCCGGTCAATCGGAAGAGTCCCAAAAGGCATATGTTTAGTGTCCATCGTGTGTCTGGCACTTTTCTTGGCACCAGGGAACAAA